GGCTCGGCCTGCTCACCAGAAACTGGAGTTGAGAGCTTGTGGTCCACACGCAAAGGAGAGGGCTGTACCGACGAGAACTGAAGGCCGAACCTCTCGAGGATATGCTGCACCATATAGGACTGGAAGAGTGTGACAGTGCACGCTCCACAGTCACGAGATGTCCCCAAGCCCAGATAGCACCGTAGCCCTCCCAGATCTGTGCAGGCATGTTGCCTAAGTAGCTCGGCCTTTACTGAGGCCAGTGCAACTCAGTCTAGAGTAGCAAAGATAAGGTCATCTACGTACACAAGTATGTTGAACGGAGTCTGACCAGCACGAACAAAGAGCGATGGGTCAGCAAAGGACCGGAAGAATTGGAGAGTCGCGAGTGTAGTGCAGAGCGTGTCGTGTCACTCATAGGGCGCCTGGCGCAGACCGTAAACAGGGCGGCGCAGGCTCCGCTGGGTCCTAGGAGCGAAGGACCCGGTGAAACCTGGTGGGCGTCGTAAGTAGTTCTGCTCGTACAGGCTGCCTTGCAAGAAGGTTGTCGAGAAGTCTAGAGAGTGGAGCTTGTAATCACGCTGTGCGGCTATGCGGAGGAGCACTCAAAGATTAGTCATCTTTGGGGTGGGGGAGAAGGTCTGGAAGAAGTCCACACCCTCATGCTGGTTGAAGCCTCTGGCCACATACCGCGCCTTGAACTGCGGCGGCTCTCCAAGCGGGCGCTTTACCTTATAGATGCACATGCCATCGACTATGTTTGCCTCGGGTGGAGGAACTGCGTCGACATAAGTGCCCGTGGATCTATAAGATGTCATCTCAGCCTCCATGGCCTGTATACACTGGGCTGCCCAGGGCCCCAAGACCGCCTCCGTGTACGAGAGCAGGGTAGAGATGTTCAGGGCGTCTGGGTGACCCTCAGAGGACACAAGCATGGCGCAGAGATGAGGTACAGCAGCCGCAAGGAGAGCTAGCTCGTACTGCCTATCCTCTAGAATGTCACTGCCAGGGGCAGGTGCACCCCCGACGGACGGAGGACAGGCAGGTTTAGAGACCAGAGCGGAGGCGTAGTCAAGGCGGTGGCTCGCGACAAAGTTAACGGCAGCAACGACAAGGGCAGAGACACCAGCAGAAGGAGTGGTAGGGTCAGTGACAAGCGAGGCAAGCAAGCGGGAGAGGACTGGACGGGCAGTGCGAGCAGAGTCTGGGAGAGGAGCAAGGGACAGCGGGAGTGACAACTGGGGAGATGACAGTAGGACGGGGACTGGAGGAGCACAAAAACGAAGGACCATAGGGTGGGCACGGGCACGAGGAGAGACAGGACGACCACCAGGGGGACGACGCACCCACGTGTGGGCGACAGGGGACGGCGGAGGACATGTGGGGAAACGAGTCGGAGTCGAGTCCGGGAGGGGGAACAGCGGGCCATAAACGAGGGGAGGTGGGAGGGGAGGCATTGTAGGAGGGACAAAGAGCAGACTGCGGCTGCTGCTGCTGCTTTTCTTCGCCCACACCAGAAACCCCCAGCCCCACCAATGCCACCGCATGTACTCTCCAAGCCAGCACCCCCAAGACTAGCACCCCCAAAAACAGCACCCCCAAAACCATCACCCCGAGAACAAGCACCCCTAGATCCAACAACCGCAAAGTCTACGGTCCCCCGTCGCTGCTGCTGCTGCTGAGGTTCCTTGGGCACCGGGGCTGGATGCCGAAGCTGCGTCAGGCGCACCCCCAGCCAGATGGGCCTCCAGAGTCAGCAGAATCCCCCACAGGCCCAACCGAGGGTAGGGGAGTCAAGTGGGAGACACGAGACGGGGCCGAGCGGGTTGGGAGGGGAGCGGCAGACGGAGGAGGGGAGAGAAAGAGAGGGGCAGGAGGAACACAAGCACCACGGTAAGGAAAGCGACACAAAAGGAGACTGACTCATCGATTGTAACGTCACGAGAGTGAAAGAAGCGGTGCTATCACGGGTGGTAGAACAGCCAGTGAAGAGAGTCGAGTAGGAACCCTAGGAAGACACAAGGGAGAGTGCGGACTGAGAGCTTGTCCACGCCAGTGGCGCGGACGTGAGCCATGTAGCTTCTGACATGGAGCGTAGACGTGTAACCAGGAGATCCAGAGGAGGGTTGGCGAAACCAGTGGCTGTTAGGAGCGAGACCATTGGTTAAGCTAGTGAGCTGCGTACCACACCGCGAATGGCCACAGAAAATAGGGGCCACCAGCATGGAGGATGGAGGTGCGGGCCACCTCGATGACCAGGCCGATGCGTCGCTCAGCTACCCCATTCTGTTCCGGCGAGTCTGGAAGGGTGAGTGTCTGGGTGATGCCCTCCGCACGACAAAACACACCAAGACGACCGGAGGCGAGCTCGCCACCACGGTCGAAGTGAAGACGGAGCACATGCAGGGAGCGCTGGGTGGGGATGAAGCGGAGCCATGGGAAGAGGGTGTCGGGCACGTCAGCCTACCGCTCCAACAGGAAAACCGTGGTGAACCGTGAGAAGTCGTCGACGACGGCCATGAAGTAGCGCTCCTTATGAGGCCCCTGGACCGGGGCGGGGCCTCAGACGTCCAAGTGCAGAGTCTATAGGGGAGTTGTGGTCAGAGGAAACGAGGAGTGAGGGGCGGCGCGCTGCCGACCCTCGACGCAGGAGGTGCACGCGGAGGCTACCGAGGCGGGGAGGGTCGGGAGCGATGCAGGGAGACCAATGAGTAGACCGTGGTGTGCCTTGTGATGCAGACGTGGGAGATCAAGGTAACCTAGACGGTGGTGCTATAGCTGCGTACTCCTCGCGCTGCGCCGACGACGCACTGGCAGCAACAGACTCAGGAGGGGGAGGGGGGCAGCTCACCAGTAATGTGGGCTTCCAGCAGCTCGCCGTCCATTCGCTGGCTCACCAACTGCCTAGTAAATTGGTTTTTCCTCAAACGTGTTTTTTCTTCTTCTTCTTCTTCTTTTTTTAATGAAGCCAATCTTTTCAACCAGTGTCATAAGCATTCATGTTGGTTTTCCACGTTTCCAACCACCCACATACTAACAATAGGCAAATGTTTTATAGGAAGATCTCGATTATACTTCACGAATCAACGAGTGAACTAATGCACGTGCCACTGCTTCCCCCACAGGCCCCCTAACCACCACCTTTTCTTTCGGAGTCTTGACATAGCACAAATAGTGGTGGTCACTAGGACACACATCCATGTATTTTGACATCTCGCTTTTTCACGAGTCAAACACATGTATGGAGGATGCCAGCTGTCAACAAACACATATTGCTATTTATATATATATATACAGTATATATATCTAGTTAGACTAGCTAGGTTAGCTATTAGAGGGGATTACACTCTACTCCTTTCCCCACTTTCTGGTCAACGTCTGTCTCGCTAGTTTCACATGGTATGAGACCTAGGTTAGAAAATCTTCATAGCGCCACGCTTCCACAGTTACGTTATAGTACGTTTGTTTGTTTGTTTGTTTTTTTTTTTTTTTTTTTTTTTCCGCGCAATTCTCGCTCTATAATTTTGCTATTCGTAGCAAACCCGCCCACCCCACCCCCTGCCCCCCCTCCCCCCCCCCCCCCCCTGCCCCCCCTCCCCCCCCCCCCCCCCCCTTCGTTTCGTACGTAGCCAACCAGTGTGCTCGTTAGTCAGCTCGCACGCTAGCCAGCCAACTCACTTGCCAGCTCTAGCTGCGTCAGCCTGCCCGCCCGCCCTTCGATCGACGTTTCGCTCCTGCTGGCCGCCACCAGCTCGTCGCCAGCCAGCGCGCCGGCCAGCCTGCCAGCGTGATAGCCAGCCAGCTCGCCGGCAGCAGCGCCAGCCAGCTAGCCACCTGCAGTGCCTGCCAGCTCGCCAGCAGCAGCGCCTGCCACCTAGCCGCTAGTAGTGCCTGCCAGTTCGCCGCCAACAGCACCTGCCATCTCGCCGCCAGCAGTGCCAGCCAGCTCACTGCCAAGGAGCGCCAGCCAGCTAGCCGCCAGCCGTGCTTGCCAGCTCGCCGCTAGCATTACCTGCCAGCTCGCCACCAGCAGCGCCAGCCAGCTCGCCGCAAGCAGCGCCAGCCAGCTCTCCGCCAGCAGCGCCACCAGCGAGTGCGCCGCTGGTTCGTCAGCTAGCAGCCACCAGCAAGCTGCCAGGAAGCCGCTAGCCGCCAGCACATCGCCAGCTCATCGCCAGCAGCTGCCAATGTTAGGATTAAGGACGGAGTCTAGGTGAACTTAGGAGCTAGAATTACTCAAAAATATATATCCGAAATTCTGGACAGAAAAGTCGTCTTCACAAGAAACAACATCGACGAAAAACTAGCCGTTAGAACATCGCAAAACTTGGATATGTTGTAGCTCTTAATTGCAGCTACCGTTCCCAATTCGAATCACGTTGATTGATGAAGTATTCGCGACGCTATGGCTTTCGACGCATTAGGGGGTAAGCTGTAGGAGGAGAACTTAACTCAATCTCAAAAGTTCAATCAAAGTTCAAGAATCTCACAAGGAATTAGAGGAGCAAGAAAAAGGTTGGGATAGAAGAGACGGATGAGAGGGAAGGTCCCAAGAGAGTCCCCAACCAAGGAAACCCCATAAGCACAAAGATTCCCTCCCTATAGGAACCCCAACTTTGACATTTGTCCCTTCCCAACCAATCCAACCAAGTTGGCCACCCTTGCCAACCTAGCTTGGTGGTTCCCAACCAATTTGCAGCTGTTACAGTAGAGTGACGAATTTTCCCAACCCCAAAGGTCCCAACTCCATATAAAGTCACCCCACAACTTCACTTTGTAACCGCTGCAATTGTAACGCAAGCTCATGAACTTTGAATCTTCATAGCTTTCGCGTTCTTGCTCCGATTGAAGGGATCCTCGTTGCGTCGGAAAGATCTTCTCAAGATCTATCACAAAATACCTGCTCAAACAAAATAACACAAAACACATTCCCAAACTCCAGAACACACACCACACAAATTCTTTGACACACAGTCAAACCATACATGCGAATTGAAACAAGGGATGGGAGGCAGACAGAATGTGATAGCATATGATGACATCACACAACAATCTCCCCCTCGGGCTGCCAACCATCATCCACCATACCAACATCTCAAGCATGCATACTCAATGCACACTCATCCCAGCAAGCTTCATGCCCTTCCAATGATCCGCCTCCGCTAGTCGCTTAGTGAAAATATCTGCTGCCTGCTGATGGGTCTTCACTATCTCCAGCCGCACCTCCTTATCAAGGAGTCTCCTCACCCAATGCCACTTAGGCCTTATGTGTTTTGTCAGCCCATGCAGACAAGCATTCTTGGCGAGCTTCACTGCAGACTCATTGTCACAGAACACAACTGTCGGCTCCTCCTGACCAACTCCCAACTCCTCCAACAAGCGCCTCAGCCACACCACTTCCTTGGCCCCATGATGTAAGGCCATGTACTCAGTCTCACATGAGGACAATCCCACCTCATTCTGCTTCTTGCTGCGCCAGCTCACGGCACCACCTCCCAGCAAGCACACATAACCCCCAATGCAGGTGCCATCCGCTTTCACTGAGTTGAAGCTAGCGTCAGTATAGCAACTCAAGAGCATCTCTCCACTCTTCACATCTGCAGCACCTCTCTACAACCGCTGCCTCACACCACAGTACTCCAATCCCACTGATGCCGTAGCGCTCACATAGCGGACCAACCTCTTGGCCGCTTCCAGCTGCTCTAGGGCGTGAAACCACGCTAGCCAGCCGTGATGTAGCAAATGCAATGTCAGGCCGTGTATGATTTGCAGCATAGTTTAGCGACCCAACCATCGAATGAAACAGCTTCCTGTCACTCTCACCCAGTACCTCCTCATCAGCACATGGCTCCACAGTAAACCCCGAAGGTAGTGGTGTTGCTAGCTTTCCCCCATCTTGCAGCCCATACTTCTCAGCCAGCCCCTCACAATACTTCCTCTGGTGCAACCTTAGCACACCCTTTTCCACATCTCTCTCCACATGCATCCTCAGGTATTACTTCACCTCACCCATCTTCGAACACTTGAACTGCATCTCCAGCATCTGCTCTGCGCTGTCCAGCAAAGCAGTTGATGTAGAAAAGAGAAAGATATCATCCACATACACCAAGAGCATGAGGATTTCATCCTTCTCCTGCAGCAGGAACAGTCTGGGGTCACACTCACTCTTCTTGAAACCCCCAGCCAGCAGCGCCTCCTCCAACTTGTGATACCATGCACGAGGCGCCTGCTTAAGGCCATAGATGGCCTTCTTCAGCCTGCAGACCCTGCCGCTCCCATCATCCAGCCCCTCTGGCTGCTTCATGTACACCTCCTCCGGAATGATCCCATTCAGAAAGGAAGTCACAATGTCCATCTGCCGAATCTTCCAACCCAGGAGTGCAGCTATCGGCAACAGCACCCTCAGTGTGGTTCCTTTCCCCACTGGAGCAAACACCTCATCATAGTCCTTCCCCTTTGTCTGCTGAAACCCCTGTGCCACAAGCCTAGACTTGTAGCGGGTCAGCTCCCCTTCAGGTCCATACTTGTGCCTGTAGATCATCTTGGAAGTGATTGCCTTCTTCCCAGGAGGCAAGTCAAACAGGTCCCATCTCTCGTTCTTAATCAGGGACCCGAACTTCTCATCCTCACTTGCCTTCTACTTCTCCCCATTTGGTCCATTCAAGGCCTCCTCCCGAGTCTTGGGCTCAGGGATTGGTGCCCAGTAGCAGTGAGCGATCTCATCTTCCTCAATCTGCTCAACCACACTCCTTGCCTGCACAACATTCGGCTTGCCTCTTCCACCATAGGTCAGCCTCACCGGAGGGCGCACATCCCTCTTAGGTCGCTCAGGCGGGTGTGCAACTCGAGGTTGAGACTCATGCTGCTGCTGCTGCTGTTGCTGCTCCACTTCAGCTGCTCCCCCTTCCTCAGTCACCCCAGACATCTCCTCCTCTGACACTGCAACCTCCACCTGTCTTGAAGGCCGCTGCACCTCATCTGCGTCCACAATGAGCGGTGTAGATGGAAGCTTCTGTTGCTGCTGCTTCCATTCCTTGTAGTACAGGGACTCAAGAAACTTCACATCCCTTGACACTGTCAGCTTCTGGGTGGTCAAGTCCCACAGCAGCCACCCCTTATGATCATTTGCAATCCCCAAATGCACACCCCATCTTCCAGAAGCCTCCAACTTCCCCCTTTTCTCCTTAGGCACATGGAATACCACCATGCACCCAAATGCCCTAAGCATGTTTTCAGCTGGAGCACTCCCATACCACTTGGTATACGGGATCCACTTCTTATCCCCAACTGTAGCCAGCACCCTGTTCTTCACAAGGGCGACCTGCCTCAGTGCACATACCCAAAACGGATCAGGCAGCCCTGCACGCCCAAGGAGAGTGCGTGCCCCTTCCTGCAGGGTCCTGTTGAACCTCTCAGCCACACCATTCTGCTGCGGGTTATAGGGCACTGTCAGTTGATGTTGGATCCCCTTCCTCTTCAACTCCCCCTCAAAATCATCTCCAATGAACTCCCCACCATTATCACTGCGGATCACCTTCACCTTGTGTCCGCATTCCCTCTGAGCTCTAGGCATCCACTCCTTAAGGACAGCCGCTGCCACCTCCCCCTTGCTCTTCAAAGAATAAACCCACACTGCCCGAGTGTGGTCATCCACAATTGTCAAGAAATAGCGGCTGCCTGAGAGGGAAGGGGCTCTTGTGGGCCCCACCACATCCATGTGCACAAGTGCAAGTGGGGTCTTGGCTGGTCCTGTAGTGCTGTTGAAGGGGAACTTGGAGAACTTGGTCTCCAAGCATGTAGGGCAGCTCCCAATCTCCTTCACTTCCCCTTTCACCTCCAAGCCCTTCAGGCTCCCATCCTTCACCAACTTCTGCAGCATAGGGAAGTTCACATGACACAGCCTCTCATGCCATGTCTCCCAATCGGCCTCACCACTCCTTGATGAAGCCTTAGCCCATGCCGCACTCGCATCCACACCAGCAAGCACCTCACCATGTGTCTGCTGCTGCTGCACTTTCTTGACTGCTTCCAGGACCCCATCAGTTGGTGCAGTTGCATCTCCTCCTGCTGTTGCCTTTGCCGCTGCTGCCGTTGCTGCTGTTGGAGTCTTCCCATTCCAAGGGATGATGGGCAGCTGCCACAGGTCCTTGATGCAGCTGGTCTCCTCTTCCAGACTCCACAGCACCTTCTTCGCAAGCTTAGCACGGCAGCTGGTTGGTCCAAAGGTCACTTCGGCCTTGCTCTTCTGCAGTCGTCGCACACAGAGAAGGTTAGCAGACAAACCTTCAACCAGCAGAACATTCACAAGCCCTACAGGCTCCCCATTAGCTCCCTTAACCTTGGCATTCCCAACACCAATGACAGGGAGCAAAGCACCTGACGCTGCTGCCACATACTTAATCTTCCCAGGGGGTTTTACCTCATCAAGCAAATCTGCCTGTGGGGTGATGTGACTGGTGCAACCTGAATCAATCACCCAGTGCGTGAGAGGGTGCATCACAACATTTCCCACAGATTCCACATCACCCTCATGCCCATGCACATCCTCAACCATGAGAAACATCCCAGGATAGGCATTACCTTGTGCACCTTCACCTTGTGCACCTGAGCCTTGCACAGCCCCACCTTGTGCGCGTTCACCACTTGGCGGCTTCATGCCTGGAGGTGCCCATCCCTCCGGCCTGCTGAAGCACTTGAACCAAGGATGTCCGACCTTCTTGCAGTACCAGCAAGTGCCCTCCATTCTGGTACTCCCCCTGCCACTAGAGCTCCCATGCCCCTCATTATAGTCACCTCGACCTCTACCTCTGCCAAAGCTCCTCCCACGGCCTCGGCCTCTCCAACCCCCTCTTCCTCTGCCGCGCCCTGCAGCTCCATACCCCTCAGCAGTCTTAGTAGACGCACCACCTCCCACATGGCGTCTGCGGAAGTCCTCCTGCAGAATCTGCTGCCTTAGCCACTCAGGTGTCCATTGATCTTGCTGAGAGTTGAGGGTGGGGATGAGGTTGTCCCAAGAGTTGTCCAACACCGAGATGATTTTGATGCACTGCTGCAGCTGAGATACACTGCTGCCCGCTGCTGCCATCCTTGCATAGGTGTCCTTGATCTTGTCAAGGACCGGCTTCACATCATCCCCTGGTCGCATGGAGATGGCAGCAAGTTCCTTCTCGAGCACGATCACCATCGGGAGAGTGTTGGGCTGAATCACATCGCGTAGTAGTTTCCATGCCCTTGGACCCAAATCATCCGCTTCCACAAGATCCTTGATGTGCTCGAACATCTCCTTGTTGACCGATTGAAGGATGAGGTCGAAAAGCACCGCGCTTTTCTCAATCCACCGTTCACGTGCTTCGCCTTCTTCCGGCATCTTCTCTTTCCCAACAGCAATCTTCAGTAGCTTGTAGCGTTTGAAGGCACTCCTCATCCGACCGCTCTATTCCTCATAGTTGGAGCCATCCAAAGCTTCAACTTTTGATGGCGGCGGCTCACATGTCTTCTCAGGTACAGCTCCTCTTCCATTAGCATCTCCTCCTCTCTCATTCATATTTTCCTTGAGAAATGACGAATTTCAGCTCCCCTTTGCTGTCCACACTCAGCTTCCTCGATATTTTCACAAGTGTCGGCGTCCACGAAATTTCGACAGAGTTTCCCCTTAGCGGAAGACACATCCAACCTTTAGAACACCACTTAGGCACACCCACAGGCCATGGTGGGTCTATAAGGGTCTTCACACTTATGTAGACTCCTCTCAATATCCTCAATATGGCTCTGATACCACTTGTTAGGATTAAGGACGGAGTCTAGGTGAACTTAGGAGCTAGAATTACTCAAAAATATATATCCGAAATTCTGGACAGAAAAGTCGTCTTCACAAGAATCGACGTCGACAAACAACTAGCTGTTGGAATATCGCGAAACTTGGATATTTTGTAGCTCTTAATTGCAGCTACCGTTCCCAATTCGAATCACATTGATTGATGAAGTATTCGCGACACTATGGGTTTCGACGCATTAGGGGGTAAGCTGTAGGAGGAGAACTTAACTCAATCTCAAAAGTTCAATCAAAGTTCAAGAATCTCACAAGGAATTAGAGGAGCAAGAAAAAGGTTGGGATAGAAGAGAGGGATGAGAGGGAAGGTCCCAAGAGAGTCCCCAACTAAGGAAACCCCATAAGCACAAAGATTTCCTCCCTATAGGAACCCCATTTTGACATTTGTCCCTTCCCAACCAATCCAACCAAGTTGGCCACCCTTGCCAACCTAGCTTGGTGGTTCCCAACCAATTTGCAGCTGTTACAGTACAGTGACGAATTTCCCCAACCCCAAAGGTCCCAACTCCATATAAAGTCACCCCACAACTTCACTTTGTAACCGCTGCAATTGTAACGCAAGCTCATGAACTTTGAATCTTCATAGCTTTCGCGTTCTTGCTCCGATTGAAGGGATTCTCGTTGCGTCGGAAAGATCTTCTCAAGATCTATCACAAAATACCTGCTCAAACAAAATAACACAAAACACATTCCCAAACCCCAGAACACACACCACACAAATTCTTTCACACACAGTCAAACCATACATGCGAATTGAAACAAAGGATGGGAGGTAGACTGAATGTGATAGCATATGATGACTTCACACAACAGCCAACAGCCGCCGCTAGCCACCAGCTCGTCACTAGTCGCTAGCACGCCGCCAGGTCGCTGCCAGCAGCCGCCAGCCAGCGGCCGCCAGCAACTGCTAGCCGTTGCCGCCAGCCAGCTCGTCGCTGGCTCGCTAGCCAGCAGCAATCAGCAGCCGCCAATCAGCCGCTAGCCGCCAGCACGCCGCCAGCTCACCGCCAGCAGCCGCCAGCAACCGTCGCTAGCTGCCAGCAGCCGCCGGCTAGCACCCACTAGCAGCTGCTAGCCGCTGATGCCGGTCAGCTTGCTGCTGGCTCGCCAGCTAGCACCAGTCAGCAGCCTCCAGCTCGCATCCGTCAGTCAGCAGCCACCAGCCAGCCACTGGCCGCTGTCGCTGGTCCGCCAGCATGCTGCTGGTCCGCCAGCCAGCAGCCACCAGCAGCCGCCTGTTGCACATAGCTGCTCACTACCGTTGCAGCTGCTCCTTCCTCAGCCACTGCCGCTACCACTGTCGCTTGCTACTGCCGTTAGCTACCACTGTTTGCGGCCTTCACCTCCTGACGCCAGCAGCCTGCCGCTTCAGTAGATACAGCCGTCCCTGCTGCGGTCGCCGTCCCCAGCACCTGCCGCTATGGCGTCCCAGCCTGCAGTTGTTCTCCGCCTGGACGCTAAGGGTCGCGCTGTGGGCTTCCCGGCCTGGCTCGTCGCTCTTTCTCACCAGCTCATGTCCATCCGCCAGAATGGCCAGGCCCTTGTGGCCCACACTTCAGGTACACGTTAGCTGCCCCCCAAGAGCCCGCTGATCCTGCTGCTAACGTGACGTCACCGCAGCTGACTGCGTTCGAGACTTCCTTAGCTGCCTTCTCTATCTGACAGTCCCGCGACTCAGTGACTAGGGCCCTTCCCCCAGACGAGCAAACCCACTTTGAGACTCTACAGATGGCTCGCGAGATCTGGGACGCTGTTGTCGCTCGCTACTCCACATAGTCCTCCGCTACCCTCGGCCGTCTTGTGTTGTAATTCCTGTTCCCCAACCTAGCCTCCTTCTCCACTGTAGCCAACCTTGTAGCACAGCTGCAGTCCCTTGAGGCTCGCTGTGCAGCTTGCCCTGAGGAGCACCGCACCACCCACTTCCCGCCTACCTACACCCTGTACCTCCTTGCCACCCGCCTCCCTGACCGCCCCTGCGCGAGTCGCGCTCCTCGCTGTGCCCCGCACCTCCCTCACTATCGCTGAGTTCTTCTTTGCCCTAACAACGGTTGAGTCGCACCTCCTTGCCATCGCTGACACCACTTGCATGGTGGCAGTCCCCATATACAGCGACGGAACAATTTGTCCGCAAAATGGCAATGTTGAGCAAGTTCGCGATGTTTTTGCAAGTATAAATGGATAGATATCAATCTGGAACCTATGGACATTATGCAGAAACAATTGATGCACCTCCAAATATGTCGAACGCTAGGAGATATCGATTTCCTAATAGCGAGTACAAGCCTTAAGGCTCGATGGTCGATGTGGACAAATACTACCCGAGCAGAGACTAGATCTGTTTCCGCCGAGCATTTTTTGCACGAGCTAGCAAAGTCGCTTAGACCTTTGCTAATGCTTGCCCCTTACCCCGTGAGCCTCCAGTAGGCACGCGGCCGCTTGCTTCGTGTCACAGATAGAGGATCATGAGACTCTGTCGCCAGGGTCTGAGTTTCCGACAGATCGCACGTACGCTAGGAATAGGGAGAAGAATCATCCAAAAAAATGCTATGAAGGCTAGTCACAGCAGTAGTCATCTAGCAGCTAGGCCAACAGTCCCCTCTTCAGGTCGACATCGATTGCTCTCAGCATGACACGTGCGCACCTTCGTGCACATCATCATGTTAGGTGTCGCATTGACGGGCATCAAGGCTGTGTATCCACTGGAATCGTATAACGATGTTAAGCTCCACCCTCGTACTCCACGAAATGCTCTCAAGCTGCCTGAGTTAGTCGCCGTGCAGACACTGCGCAAGTCTCAACTATCAGCACGCAACGGCCACGACCGTCGTTATTTTGCTAGAGCCCATTTGGACTGGACTCTGGACGACTTAAAGCGGGTGATCAGGTCGGACGAGATACGGATCGTTCAATATTGCTCGGAAAGCCGCACCCACGCATGGATTCGCCAAGGCACTGCTCTCCAAGGGCATCAGGTGAAGTTGAATATGAAGCATGAGGGTGGGTAAGTCATGGTTTGAGTATGTATGACGTATGATGTGCCTGGTTACATGTGCAAGATTGATGGCCACACGGGTGGCCAACTCTATCGCATCATATTGCAGGATGAGGTGGCTCAAGCTCTTGATTTCTATTTTTTAACCATCTCTGGCATGACTTTCCAGTACATTGTACGACCCCAAACCCAAGTGCAGGATCGTTCAAGAGCGGCTAGCAGAGCAAGATTTTGCCGTCCTGCAATGGCCCTCTTCCCCACCTGACCCCAATCCCATTGAGCAGCTCGCCAAGCATGAGCACTCCCTCACAGGCATGCTGCAAACTTGGGAGTAGGTGCACGAGACCTGGGATAGCATTGGGGCTAGCGTGTGTGAAGCTCTGTTAGACAGTATGCCTAGGATGATCACAGCAAGAAATAGGGCCAAGGGGAGATGGACACGGTATTGATATTGATAATTTCAACTGTGGCTCATCCTGGGAACATTCTGTCCGAGTGTACCTCTTCTGATCTTGGTTGTTCTATGTTCTATTATGGTGTGTTTTTTGGACAACATGTTATTTGTCACACAAGCCTATAACAGTAGCAACTAGAACCTTAAAACCATAAAATAAAAAACCTGCTCAGTTTCTCATGGGCTCTGATTTTGTCCACTTCATGACCAACATGTGGACAGAAAGTTCCGTCGCTGTATAAGTCATGGCAACAAGGGCCAAGAATCTTTACGGGGCTCACCCAGTTGCCAAGCACTAAACCGGCAACTTGGACTACACCTTCGGCTGCAAACGAGACCGGCGCTGCCAAGAGAACAAGGGCAAAGGGCACCAGAAATGGTGACCCATCACGCTCTTCAGCGTGGACCCAAACCTTATGGAAAGGTTTCTTCAGCTTCATGTCGCACTTCGACCAGCAGCAGCAGACAAGGACACCTGCACATTCAACACAGAGCAATGGAGGAATTATGGGATTAGCACGAATGAGCCTCGACAACTCATCGTTCAGGCGACACAATCAAGGGCCTACCTTTTGCGCCTTATCACTCTTCACCGGGGACGTTCGAGTTCATGCCGCCCCGTGCCCAACCAACAGCAGCTGCATCATAACAGACACCAAACGAGATATTGAGTCTCCAGGCGCAATTTTCACATGTGATCAAACTGCAGACATCCTCACCGTTCAACAGACACGACATTTTTACCTGGAGTTTCGAGTTCGAGCTGCTGATGGAGGCCGTGCATCTCTTGGGATACTTCAACGGGTCCCCGCCATTTCCGAGCAATGGCACTGCAAAGGAGCAGGAAATCTTCACTTATCACTCGCTGCTGGCGTACACAGTCTCCTGCGGAACCTGTCACCAAAAGAACAACAAAGCATCAGAACGTATCGGAGCTACGCAAACTCCGCGGAGCTCGCATGGCATCACCTCAAGTGTCTCTATCAAGGCAAATGACAGCGTGACACAAAGCAGACTCATGCAACAGTTGACAACAATACAAATGAAAACCGGGGAAAAGGCAATGCAGTATATGAGTCGCTGCCAGACACTCCGCGACCGCCTGCTTCGATGCGGAGGTACAATCATTGAAGAAAGCTTCGTGACACTTGTTCTCGCCGGGCTCGGGCCAGAATGGTGAACCACCCGCTTGCTTTCTTCGCGCCCAGGAACGGAGAATTTCGGAGATGCACCTCTACGCCGAGCTTCACTCTGAACAACATGAGATGGACCTGTTTGAAGAAAGACAACCAAGAAACAAGCAGAACCGTTAGTCTCCTATGCTCAACGAAGAAACGACAACTACAATCGACGTGACAGGCAGAATCGATACGACACCAAAGGACTCACCATCGTGCCGCCGTTCTGCCACAACTGTCAGACATCCGGACACTCCAAAGTTAACGGCACACGCCCCCAAGTTTATCGTCCAGTAGACCCACAAGCCGCCTCCACTCAAGAAAGTCCACCAAGGCGTTCCTCCACATCTGCATAGGGACCACCGAACATCATCAATTGTATGGTACGCATCGACAACTGCGCACCCGGATCACCACCCACTTACGCTCCAGACGAAGAAGAACTACCCCCGCCGCGCTCACAAGGCCTTCAGGTCAACCCAACGTACGCTGCATGCCAGTCGCCAACGCCGAACCCACCGGGCGAAACACCTGGTTCTTGGACAGCTGTTGCGGCAACACTGTGTTCTTCCGGACGCTTCGTGCAACGAGAGCGACGCCTCAACCGCGATATCATCATCACCGTCGCCAATACGAGAACCTGAAAAACAAACAGACAAGGAGTGGTTCAGTTGCAGTCCATGGAGACAAATGTCATACTGCAACTCAACAAGGTTCTAATCGTCGACAACTTGGGATCAGGGTTTCAGCTAGGATTTAGGGCCATCTGAGAATCAGACGGGGTTTCAAAGTTTGGTCTGACCATCAGACGAAAATTTTCAAGGAGTCTGAGATTTCAGACGAAACTTTTACACTGGTCTTAAAATTCAGTCGAATTTTTTTGCGCAAGAATATTCGTCCCTCGTGATTTCGACCTCGATTTGTTCGTTTCCTGCTAAGAGCGTTTTCTTACGAACCTCTTCCCAGGCTACCCAATTCCCAGACTCG